TCACATTGGAAGGGTTGATTTTGTGTTGTTTGGAGCCGGTGTGGAGAAGGCGTCAAATCATGTGATGGATTCGTGGATTTAGTCTACAGAAACCAGAAACATGTGGAAAGGTGTGCTGACATGTGTCAAGTTCACGAAGAGAAGGACCAATGCCGCATAGGTTGGGATGAGATGATACATTGTGGCGTTTGTTTGAGTCTTTCGGAATTTAACGTGAACAGACAGAACACGCCCAAATGTATACGATTTCATTTGGTCACACTCAATAACCGCTCGAAAGACAGTGTCTTGTCGAAATCGGAGTTTTCACTAGAGTGTATTTGAACTGCCCACAAATTTGGTGGCAAACATGCTAGCAGTCAGAATACGGAGGTTGTAGAGGTTCCAAGATGATACATTGTCCGGAGTTAGCACACCTTCCTGGGTACAAATCATGTTGCAAGTGCGGAAGCTCTTTTGGAAGTTGTTGGTTGAAGATTCAGGTGGGTTTGGGTGCCGAGTTCTGATGAATCAGTGTATGTGGTTCCACTTTTATTGCAGAATTCTTGGAACGGATCGGGTGGAGTTCATGGTCTTGGCGACCAGCCGGTGCTTTCGCCACAGCCAGTTCCAGGTTTTTAAGCCTCAAGAACCGATTATTTTTTATTTGCAATAATACAAACTCAGCAATGAAGAACCATGTTGGCCTGACATGCTTGAAAAACAAACCTCAAATACAGTGGTTTCAGAGTAGATTGCGCAATCCCAAGAACGTTTGTACGGAGCCCCATCTAAACGATCATCTCGGGGGTTGTGCCATCTACTCTGAAACCTACATGTAGCTCATGTGATTCATGGCAAGACTTGGACAAATATCCCTGGCCATGTGTGATTCAACCATTTGGTCGCGTTCTCAGTCCTCCCATAAAACCTCCAAGTCCTGTTCTTCAGGCATTGATCGCGGATTGCTGAAGGCCGCAAAGGGCGGGACGACTTGCAAGACCCGTCGTTTCAATGGAAACCCATGGAAACCCGATAATTCGAGCTGGACATGGTACCTGGACATTTGAAGCCTTTCTGAGCGCAGGCCACAGGCTGCTGATGAATCGAAGCATTGACTACAATCCTCGGCGGCTCGATCAGTTGCGGGTCCCTGCCATGAACTCCACTCAATTCCACCTGTGGAATCCCATGTTGAAATTCCGCCGAGCCCGGCGAGCCTTTGGAATGGGCAGAGCCTCTCAAAACGACTGTGTTTCCCTCGTGTTGACACCTGACCGAGCTTTCAGCATGAAAGTTTGAGCCCATGACCGAATCAGAATTGCTACATGTCCCAATCCTAAGCCGTGTGTGTGTGTGTTTGTTGCTCATTGGGTGTGTGTGAGAGGATTTGTAATATTTTCTTGTCAGAACTGCCACAGTATATACAGGGTCCCTGAAAATCCTGAAAGTCTAACCAGTCGCCAACTTTTAGCCTTGTTTTGGGTAAGTTTTCCCTACTGAAACGGATGGGTGGAGAATGGTGGAGAAAAGTTCAGATTTTGTTGAACATGTTTTGAATAGGGAAAGTGATTGAAACCGAATCAGAGATGGGGTCTTGAAATTGTTTGGAGTTTGAGGCACTTCGCATTGCCTAAGCTCCATGTTTAAGTGTTCTTTTCTCTCATGGGGTTTCTTTTCGCACTCCCCCAACAGATTAAGTGTTACAACCACTTGGTAAACAAGGTGTGCCTCTTCCAGAAGACGGAGGTCTATGTCATTTCGTCCAAATGAAACATAGACAACATGTGCAGTTTGCGACAAAAAGTGCTCCGCATAAGTGTTTGTTTGATACCCATATATATATACACCCATATATTACATAGATTATATAAGATGATTGCTGCCTAAACAGTGCACCCATGGTGCTTCAAGATCTTTGACGTGACTTGTTTGCTTATGATGTGACGTTATTCCCATGCGGTGATTATTGTTTTTCAGTTGGAAATTCAATACTTGTTGATGTGTCCTAATGCGGGCGGAAAGGTCAAGACACCTCCAGAAATGACGACATCGTGTGACATGATTCATTTTGTTGCATGCAGTCTGAGACTGACAGAAGTCATTCTCCAGAAATGATTTCTCTTGTGACATGTTTTCGCCGCAGGGCTCACCGGCAGGCTCACGTGGGGGGCCGGGGGCCGGGCGGGGGACAACATTGGGCTGGGCAGGCGGCGAACGGAATCGGAGCAAGGGACCGACAAGACCGAGCTGTCAAGGTTCAGCTAGCTAGCTAGCTAGCTAGCCCTTTTGGATATTTTTGGACCCTTTATGCAACTCTTGTCGTGAATAGACCTGGATTGCATATAATCTGATAGCGGCATGCCGGAGGAAAACGTTGATCGTCCATCCACGGGACGGTCTTTTGGGGCGATTGATTTCCGTTGATGGATAACCAGTAAAGATGACCGGTGGAAAACACATTCATCTCAGGTGCACACCGTTCTTGTCAGTTCCAAAGACGCTGAGCGAATGAAAACAGCAGGACATGTACGTCGTTGCGTTTCTGAAGACTCTGACAGCATGACCAGTGGAAATATCCCATCACTCAATGGTTCAAACCGCGGTTTCATCCTGAAAGGAGATAGCGGAAGTGTATGGACGGGTGCAAATTGCCAGGCAACCCTCATCCGAGATGTCTTCATGTCGATAGTGTTATGGACACTTGTGCACATGGAATCTATATAGATTATCTTCTGGTTCCTTTGTTGGTGTCCTTTGGTTTTACCACATGAGACCAAGTTGGACGGGTACAGGTACAATCATTCGGTCATTTCAGAGTAGATGGCACAATCCCCAATGGCGGTGGTAAATATAGACCAGATTATCCAGATTCCAAGTCCAACAGCAGCAACGCCTGTTTTGACCAGCCACACTGAGTCAAAGTGAAGCAGTTTTGCCAGAACATGAGGCTGTTCATAATGTAGCCTTGGTGTTGTTAAAGATGTTACTGTATCATATCTAACCAATCAACTCCCGGAATCGTCATGGATCATAGGTGATCATGCAAGCTGCAACATACGAAATTGAAGAGACCTGCAATTCAACATGTTCTTCTCCTCAAGTCGAGCTGGAAAGACTTTTTGTGGTGGAAACCCTTGGCCTTAGGTGGCCTGAGGTCGAGTTGCCTTGACCTTAGGTGGCAAAGCGAATCGAAGCACTCAAGCCATGGTCGTTTGTCATTTGTCTCCTCAGACTGGATTAAGAAGACAAGGCAGGTTTATGCAACTTTGCCCTGCGTTTTTGCGAGGAAGAAATTGTTGACCAGGTAGATTAGAGCTATCCTTGTTTCTACGGTGAATGTATTTAGTTGCCCCCACAAAATAGAGACAATGTCCCCAAACAGGTCAAGAACAAAGAAACACACTGGTTGACTTTTTGCAGGGCAACTGAGTTAAGTATGTATTCTGAATACATGTGACCTACCAGAGAAATAAGGCATGGTCCACTGTAACCAGAATGGTCGCGAGAAAAAAAAAAAAAGACGTTCGGTTCGATCTCGGCGTTCGGTTCGATCCACAGACCCCGACCCACTCACCCAACCTGTCCCACCGAACCGGTGGTAGCCACGAACATCTCCGCCCCAAAATGGGTCTCCGTACCTCAGAAGGTGGATCCAGACGGAATCGATTCGTTTTCACGAACTCCGCGGAAAGGATGAACGTCAGCTGACAGGATCGAGTGAGAAGGCTGAGAAGGCGCATGAAGCTGACACCTTTTCGATGAAGAGACTGTCCCTGAATGACCCACCCTGGTGCATGTCGAAATACTGCATTTATAGAAGTGTAACTTTGCGCACTGCTAGGCGTAAGTTTGATGTAAACTTACACTGTCAGGGGTGTAAACTTACACTTGTAGGGGCGTAATGTCAGGGATGCAAACTTACACGGTCGGGGATGTAAACTTACACTTGCAGGGTGTAAGTTTACACCAAACCTACGCCAAACTTACACTGTTGAATTTTGGCACGTTTTTCTTAGACCTTAAGTTCGCTCAGGTGATGTATCATGCTGCACAAACGCCGAAACACCCTTTCAAATGGGTATGTCTGCTACTAGGGAATCCCAGCCCGATGGATTTTGGCCTATTTTCCTTACTCCTTAGAGTCTTGTGGAGGTCTCCCCATCTTAAGACACACCCAAATCAACGATTCACAGTTCACAAAAAACCTGGATCAGATCACACGTGAACAGGTGATGGTGGTCCATTTTGGTACTGACACCTTATAATGAAGGGAATATGCTTTGGTCAACCAAGACATTTGGAAAGGTCATGACATGTTTTGTTTGGGGGTTGCTTGGGGCTTCACGTGCCAAACTCCGCACCATGCACGATTGATACCCTGGTTTGCTATTGCTGTTGGATCGCTGTCAGGATCAAGGCAACATGTGATAGCAAGCATCCCTACGATAGAGGCTCACATTTCTGTCTAGCAACCGTTAACCATTTGCGGGGTTCACGTGAGAGAGGTGTCATCGGTGGGGAAAAAACAACCCCCAAAGCTTGGAACTTTCACTGTAGTGCCAAACGTCAAACCAAAAATATACAAAGTTGAATCATGCAAACAATCTTACCAAGTGACCTCATATGTCAGCCTAGCTGAAAGATCACCTAACCTACTTAGGTGGGGTAAGGGCATGAAAGTCTTACAATCCTTTGCGTATCCCGTAATCAAAGTAACATGTCTCCAAATTCACAGCACACTTTTTCAATTTTTGTTTCGCGAAACGGGAATCAGAACTGTTGCCTCGCGTCACCTCATCAACTGCTAACACCGCCTGTTGCGCAGTCGAGTAACCCCCATAGAAAGAACTGACAAACCACCTGGGTTAGTTGATCATCACAATCAAATCATGTTCAAATCACAAGTGTTTCATCCTCTAAAGCTGTGAACTTGGATAAGTGACACTCCGCTTGGGCGCCCCCAAGCAACTCAGAGACTGGCACCAAGCAGTGATACCTTTAGACACCTAAGGCCTAGGCCTAGTCATTGACTTGCAAGTGCCTCTGACCTGCGCCGTTCTGCCATGGTCTCGAGCGCCTGCCGATGTCTCTGCAACAGTGACTGGCTGGCGGAGGTGGGATCAGCAAAGCCGCCAAGCTCCAAAGCAAGTTGAGAGTATACTGGACTTGGGTTATCAAGTTATCCCACTTTTCGAAACCCATGCACAGAAATTGCTCATCGTTTCGAAGTTGAAAAATTATCAGGAAGACAAGGGGTAGCTTTCAGCAGTGCAACAGTTGAAGGAATCCACATGTGAACAATGGGGAGCATCCAGTATATACCCTCTTCAGAACTCCTGGCTTAAAGTCCGAAGCAAGTGTGTGGCAACTCTATCTGCATCAAAATTGAGCCAAGAGTCTTGAAATGTCTTGCATTGAAGGAAGTCATGTTTCAGGATACTTTAGAATTCCTTCAAGAGTACGTTGCTCCAGTCTGAATCCTTTGAAGCCGTTGACTGACTACCTGCTTTTGGCAGGATGTTTGGATCCTGAATGAAGATGCACGTTCGTGCACGTTGTGCAAAGCTAAAAGGTATGCATGTTTTTCCTTCCAGGCCCGTGCCATCAGGTTCCATGTAACTCTATTATATATTTATGTGTATATATATATAGACCCCCAAATAGATTGAAAAGTAGATCCCCACTAAGAATATCTCTATAACTCTTCCCCATTCTCGGTCTGCGGGGGGTCTTTTTCCAGTCACACAGGGCGCTCCGCGGTCTCCGCGCTCCGCTCGCACCAGGAGTCCGCCGATCTGGACTTCGACTCGCTGGGCGGAGCGCCGATGCAGGCGGCGCGCTTCTCCGATTTGTTGGCCTATTCCACCGACATGGGCCGCCTGGAATGCACCTATCGCTCCGGATGCCGGTCCCGTTTTGCGTTGCACCTATAGAGTTAGAGGCGTCCCGGAAAAGAAGGTGAAGAAGGAAGCAGGCGGTGAAAGAGCCGACATAGTGAGTTGACATAGATATAGATTCCAGCCGAGTAGATGGACACCACCGACTCTAACCAACAGTGATAGTCATTTGTGCCGACGGTTCCAGAGACGAAGTGATGAAGTGATGAAGCCGGGTTTCCTCTTTGGTTACTCGTAACAGTTGGTGAACAATTATCACTGATCACTATTTTTGAGAAAGGCCTTTACAAACCATCATCATCCATTGTTACTGGTAATGGGACAGACTTGAAGTACTATAATTCCCTATCATTGCCTATATAGCCATGGCATGCCATGGCTAGATGTCATAGACGTTGGGCACTTCCGTTCTCAACATCACCGGGAAGTTTTGATCGCCAAGCATCGCACGGAGAGGATGGGCCGCTTCTGGGTGCAAGGGTCCAGCTCAAGTCTGCCGTGGTCGTGATAGGGCTCAATGCTTGCCTTTCTTCAAGTCTTTCTTCATTGAAACCATCCCTGAGGCTATGCTAGAAATACGATCTGCCAAATGCCGATGTCAAAGATGCAGCAGCACGTGCTTCAGATCACGTCGCAGCACGTGCTTGACGCGTGTCACGTCGCCGAATTCGACCGGTCACCGCCGCCTCGACGTGTCTTCGACCGGTCGCCATGAGGCCAGTCCTTGCGAGGCCGCCCCTTGCGCTCGGGCAACGTGTACTTCCTCCGTTCCGAGCAGCAGGCCGAGAAGGTCCAGGCGCGGGCGTGGCGGACGGACGGAACGACGACATGGGTGGGGAAGAAGGAAAGCGAGACATGGCGAGACAGGTCAACTTCGGCCAGATTCTTGATATGGTGAATGTCATGGACCAGTCATTTGACCAATGCTTGGTGATTTGCTGCTCCTCTTGACACCCAGGTGAGAGCTTGTGGTTACTATGAAGAGGTACCATTTAAGGTACACTAAGAGTAGACGTCTCCTTGGTGTTTGGGGTTCATGCTTGGCTTCCCCTGGTTGGAGACTCGAGACACAACCCCCCAGGCACTGTCAAACAAGTGTTACATCACCGATGGTTCCAAAGACATGAACATCAATTGGTCCAGTGTAGCCCCACGGACCACACAGAATTCTGGCCGCAACAGGCGCTTCTCCAAAACTGGTTCTATTCACATCTCCGGAGGTGAATTTGTATGTGAATGGCTTGGCCATCACGCACCATGGAAAGGAGGCCACCCGGCGAGTGTTTCGCCGGTGTCCGCCATCTTCGTTGGTGCGTTGGTGGGGATGTTTGGCCCCAACCAAGCCATGAGAGTCTGAGGCTTGGTTGGGGCCTTTGGGCATCGGGGGACAGGTGGAATGCTTTTGGAGGGTGCGGAAATGGTTTGTGCTGGAGAATGGGTACGATTCTAGCAGAAAGTCACGTACTTTGGTGAGTTGCCACATTCATGGAGTGTCGGAAAGAAAAGGAGGAATCACGAGAAGGGGATGGGCCAAGACAGAGCGATCATGGGAGTTCTCAAATATGGTTGGAAGAGTTTACTCTTCAGAGTGTGCCGATGTACTTGTTCTCAACACCCCTGCTTCCAAAAGATCTAGTGTAGTAGTAGCGAACGAAAGTGCCAGCAATTTGCAAAGATCCTGTTGGAACATGATTATAGGGTGCATTCCACATCAATCCATGGCATTTACTCCATGTCATTCCCATTTTCACAAGGTCTTCCTCTAACTGTTGCTTGACAACGACTACCATCAACTCTACGCAAGTGGGTAAGTGTTTTAACTACCACTTCTGATTTGTGGGCACCTAACTTTCACAAGTTGAGTTTCTTCACCCCAGGGGTGGTCGTTCTGTGTAATATATATATATATATGTGGTTCTGCTCTTCGCTTCGTCCCCTGCATGTGCCCTGGAGGTGAGGGCCTGCTTCTCCCCCTTCACACTGGTGCGCAACTGCAAATTCCTGGATGCCGCGGCCTGCACCCAGTCGCAGAGCTTCCAAAAACGATCAGCACAAAGCCGTGGTGTCAACACACGACAAACACGTGACCCCACATCAACCTGATAGAGAAGGAGACACAAGACACAAGCATTTAAAGTTTGAGACAGACCCCCCGGCAGTTCTCCAAGGCTGTGCTCCTTAAAGATCAATCTTTCTGATAAAGCTGAGTTTGATTGTGGAGTCCCCACGCAACTCGATCGCTGTGGATCGCTGGCTGTCACTGACCCTGAAGGTCCAAGGTAGTGAATCATCCTCCCATCCCATCCGCAGGTTATAGTCTCCCTAAAGATTTGATTCCCATTTGCGGGCTAGTCTGCTCAAGGTTACGGACATCATCCTCCCATCTGCAGGTTAGTCTCCCTGAAGATTTTCAAGATCTTCTTCTTTGTGAAGAACCTCTGCTACTTCTTCGGCGTTTCGGGTGAGGACACGGAGACGGAGCGCCAGGCCTGGGTGGAAGACGTGGCTCGGGCCGTGCCTTGGCGTCGGCCAGGGACGGGTGACCGTGGCCCCTCAGTGGAACGAAACAGCGCGGTCACTTTCGCCTGAAAAGGGCGGTAGATCTCTGGCCAGAACACAGACATGTAACGTGACATGATCAGTATATGCGCAAGCTGTTTCTTTCAGTGGATCGCAGACATCCTTGGGCCCCTGCAATCAGTACCCCAGGGAACTGGTGGAAACTCTGTTTCATTTGTTTGTGTTTGTTTTGTTGTTCCCCCCAAGAGTCGTTCAGACTTGAGGATGAATCGATAAGACACCATGTCGACTCGAGAGGAAAGACATGGTTTGGTGCATAGATCAGACCAGGAAGTTGATAGGACAGTTGTGGATCACCTTCTACCAAATTTGGGGCCCCATGTTCATATTCGTTTGGTTCGGGTCGGGTCTCGAGGAGATGAACTGGAGGTCCACATCATGTACCTGACGCTGAAAGATTGAAGTAGAATCTGACAGACCACTTAATCTTTTGGTATACAGACAAGCTTTTCTGGTATTGCACCTGGTACTAGTGCTAATCGATCATCACCTTTCGGTCATGGTGCTCGCTGGCGGCATGTTCTGAACATCTCAAGGTGTGACCAACTGGTTCGGACCTACCAGGTCCCAACCACAGGTTCGGACCCACCAAGTCCCACATGTTGAGAATAGAACTCGTCAGGTCAACAGCTTAGGCTTTCTCATCCACCAGGAACCGCGTTCGTCCCTCCCACACCTCCGTGAATTCCACCCGGCGTGGAACCACGCGGACTGGACACCCGGACTGGACACCGTGGTTTTTCTCGGACCGATCCGCCCGTCGAACACTGTGGCACTTCGGTGTGTGCCGCGGTGTCCGTGAGGTGCACCTGGTCACCCAGTCCTTATTCCCGCCCTTCAGCATCTCCTGCGAGCCCATTTGTGCGGCTGCCGTGACGGCCCGGCGCTTGATGGCGGGCTACGTGATCTACCATTCGGGGGACGATGTCGCTACAGATGCTTGGATTCTGCCAACGATGCACCTCACAAGATATCTTTCCAGTTTGGAAGTGATGCCTAAATATTATAAGGCTTTCTTTGCCATGTTGGGAAGGCTGTCTTTGAGCCAGGACTTCTGACATATAGACGAAGTCACAAAGTGTCATAAACACCTTAACAAATGCCTGAAACCTCACGCTCAGGTCCTGTATGGTGAGCTCTCCGCGCACGCGCGAGGGAGCGACCTCGCACGTTTGGCCTTCTATGAGAACGAGCAATGCCAACGGTTGGCTATGGCGACTCGGAACGTCTTGTCATTTCCATAAGAAGCCATGGGACGTGAACCATTACTGGGGCGTTTCCATAACTGGCTCATTTCCATTGGCGACTCGAACCCAGTGACCTTGGGAAATGGTAACTGGCCGGCCTCACGTGCCATGACCCGCCTGATACATCTCCCAAGTTAAAAGGAACATCTCTTGGCGCTGTGGAACTGGACCCTCCAGTTCTTGATTCGGCTTCAAAACAATCTGAAGAATCTCATTTGATGAATTCCAATGGAAATTCCAACATGAAGCCAATGCATTGCATTCCTCAACCGATCGACATCCCGGACCGCCGTTCCGGTCGTTCCCGACCGGTCCGCGGCTCTGGTTGGACCCGACCCCTGCACCGGCAGTGGAGACACGATGACCGGACGTTATGTGGATCCCTAAGGGTAAACAGTTGATTCATAAATCGATCCAACCCATTTCGAAGGTAAAGTCTTTCTATTGGTGTTCCTATTCAACTGTCTACAGTCTACATCATTCATGTGGGCCAGATTCTGTTTCTCCCTTGCTAGGGCTTCCACCTGGCATCGGCCTGATGCCTTCTTCACCTCGACACACATGTTTCCCTCCCTTGGACCGAAGAAATCCCAGGAGATTTGGCTCTCAGTGGCCAGCAGTTGCTTTGAGAAGGTGGGTGTCTCCTGCACTTGCTTCTGCATCAATGGCCATGACTTCAGTGCGCGGACCATCGCTGAACGGAAGTTGTGGCTGAGGGCCATCTCCAACATCAAGGTGAAACTGCAGACGCTTTGCGGGTCCGTAGTAGCGCTAAAACACAACTGAAATGAAGGAAGAACCTTAAAGAGGACGAAAACTTTTGAGACACAGGCATGTTTGGTTAATTCACCTTAATTCACCTGGAACTCCTGCAAACGATTGACCCGCGGGACGGGGTGTTCTCCGGGAAGGTTTCATCTTCATAGCATTATCATCGGTATCGCAACAGTATCACAACATGATCATCGGTTTTACAACATTGTCATCGGATGACAATGTGATTAAATTGGGGTGGGGGGTGTGGGGATGGGGAAATTGGGGCAGCACCCATCCTCCGCCTCATAACTTGATCATCGGCTTCATAACAAGATCATCGGCTTCACAATCAACATTGTCATCGGCTTCACAACATTGAACATCAAAACAAACCTGCAAATCATCGACACAAAAGGCCTGGTCTAGAAAGTGTTCGGGATGCATTTGCCCTCTTTCATTCAAAAAGGGAACGGCCTCGGTGCACCGTCCGAATGTGTCCAACAGGCATTGTGGTCGCTGTAACAAAGCACAAACCACGCGACTCACCTCGGACCTCATTTCGAACCCTCAGAATACATTTTTTTTTAATTAACAGTGTAAAGCGAACAAACTCAGTTTTCCATTGCAAAAAAACATAGGGTTTCGAGCACATCCACATGCTTTTTTCACGCATGCCCAAGAATCATGACCACGGCTACAAGCAGTTTGCATACGTATATATGCCTCACAGAAAGCTCATCATTGAGAGCCTTTGCAAAGACTCAACATGCACGAACATGTTCTCAATTTGTTCGCTGCCTAAGATAGCCATTCAAACATCAGCGTGCAAGCTTTTCACCAGTGGCCCTGCGAACATAGACTATGCAAGCTCAGCACAACCTGTTGAACCCTTCGGAGAGCCTCCCTTCTCGACCGACGCATGAATGTTACAAGAAGTTCCATGTTGGAGTTGGAGTGGTTTATTTTGTGGCGTTTAGATGCATTTAGGGCCTAAGTGGAAAATGGTTCAAAGACGCAGCGGAACCGCTCCACAAAACACATCTCATGGCCCAAAACAGCCTCCAAGTCACAGACTATACTGTATTATAGACCATATTAAACGTGTAACGCATGTTGTAAATTCCAAGTACTTCCTTTGTCTTTGTTCTTCCTACACAACTTTGTTCTTTGTTCTTTGTCCGACGACTCGTCCGGACATTCAAACCCAAACATCTCAAGGCTTCTCTGGTGTTTCTCGACGGGTCTCCCAAGGAATGCCGCTCCAGCGCCCTCAAGGGAGGATCTGGCACACTACCGGGAGGCCATTGAGGAGCAAGTCCGGTCGCTTGAGAATAGCGCCACGGATGAGAGGAAGTCCACAGATGAGGGTGGATGATGAGGGTGAGAAGTAGCGTACATTTCCATGATCAGATTTTTGTATATGGACAACTTTAATTTGGGAAATAGGCGTGTCCAATGGTTTCCAGTTGTAAGCAGACCTCATGACCTGTTATAACATGTTCTAACTGTTTCAACTCCTCTTGCATTTCCCTCCGCTTGCAGGAGGAAATCCTGCGGGTTTCTCTGAAACAGGTCATGTCCCATGTCTCTTCGTCGGTGCAGCGCTGCATCTTCGAACCTGACCAGATTTCGGTGAGCAAAGCGGATAAATTGAGAAGACAAGAACAAACAAACATGGAAAAGACACACTGCCGGCTCCACTTTCAAGCGTCCAATTTGACAGATCCACAGAGGTCAGCAGAGAGACAAATTCTCACAAGAAACTCGCCAAGGCTTAGAGGGGCGTGGTCCGGCGGATGCCTTACTACAACGAATCCAGTGGGACAAGTCAGCATCTTGACAGCAAGACATTCCTTGATGGACGACAGCTCACTGATCTCCCTGGTCCTTTCTTTTTGGCACAGAGATTACTGTAGAGGTGCATACTGTAGAAGTGATTTCAGGACCAGTTCTCATTGGGTGCCATGCGTGTGTATTTGCAGAGGCTTTCCCAGCAAACAAATATCACAACGGCCTGTCAGGTGGCATGTTCCTTCCTTGGATCTTGATTAATAAAATGTGATCCCCCCTCCTCAGCTAAACAATTCGGATGCCCTCTTTTGCAAACTACCACCAAAACAAATCTGGGTTCCTGGCAGGATTCCTTTTGTAATGGATTGTAGTATTTGCTTTCCTTTTTCAGGTTCTTTGTACTTTGATATTCTCAGCAACCTTTCCATACTACTAAGAAGAGTGCAAAGCAGGTTTCAGATGTTCTCAGGTTCTCCGCGGCTTTAAAAAAGATTAAAGCAACCTATATTTCTCAATACTCTTAGCAAGCCAGCCATTTGCTTTGCTATACATAATGAAGGAAGAAACTTGGCACAATTGATGATTCTTAAAGCAAAACTATTTTTGAGGATCAAGGACCTTCCTGGTCTACTACCTTGAAAGATTGTTGAGGAGCAATCTTTACATAAAGGGTGGGTTAAGGATCTGATGGGTTTGGGGAGCAGTCATTTTTGATGAAGAACTAGAGAAGCCTATACGTATCATGAAAGGTAGCCTCCTATACCTGAGTTCTCTTAAACTTTAGCAAAATGATAGGGTAGTGGAAGGTTCAATTATTTTGGAAAGTTTGTTCAAAGTGGGGGTCCCGTGGCTTGGACTGCACCGTTTTTAGGTTTTTTGTGTACATGTTGCACCCTTAACACAGTAGCAGTAGTCGTCGTTATTGTAATAGTGGTTGTAGTAGTATGGGCAGCATGCGCGGAGTTCGCGGTGTCCGTTGTGTTCGCGTGATTTAGAGCCACATGCTAGGATGCAACTGTCGCGAGTAGCGCAAGTGAAAGTGCAGTGGTAGTGATAGTGATATGGTCGTCGTTGTGGTGGTTGTCGTAGTCTGAGCAGGGTGGAGCTCGGAGTTCGCGGCTCTCGCGGGTTGTTGATGTGGTTGTTCTTGTTCGGGTTTGTTGTTCTCATTTGTATTATGATTATTAGTTGTTGTTGTCGTTCTTTCTTGCTGTTGCTGTTGCTGTTGCTGTTGCTGCTGCTGCTGCTGTTGTTGTTGTTGTTGGTGGTTGGTGGTTGTTGTGGTTGTTGTGGTTGTTGTGGTTGTTGTGGTTGTTGTGGTTGTGGTTGTGGTTGTGGTTGTGGTTGTGGTTGTGGTTGTTGTTGTTGTTGTTGTTGTTGTTGTTGTTGTTGTTGTTGTTGTTGTTGTTGTTGTTGTTGTTGTTGTTGTTGTTGTTGTTGTTGTTGTTGTTGTTGTTGTTGTTGTTGTTTTTGTGTTTGCTGTTGTTTCTTTATGATTGTTGTTGTTGTTGTTG